GTGTAGGTTTCAATTTCTTACTAATATGCATGAATATATTTTCTTTAAACTCAGCTTGCAAGAGCAGTTTGATTTTTGATCCAATCTATTGTTCAATATGCAGCGTACTAGGAGCTCAATGAAATGCTTATTTAATGATGACTTTGGGCATATTCAATGACTTACTGTATATTATCATATGATTTTTTAAACATCCTATTCATTTAAAAGTTAGGTATATTATTAGAGACATAAATTGGAATGTTGATCAAATTGTTTGATGGATTTGCTAAGACCTGCTTTAATATTTTAGTAAGATTCAAGCTTCTCAAAACTTTAGAAATAATATTGAGTGGTTTATGTCAAATTTGGTGGTATATAAATGCTTAGTAATACGCATCCTTTAGACAGTTTGCCAGAATTGCTTAAAACTTGATTATGACTCAGATTTGATAAGAAGACGAATAAAAAGATCTGAATAGTATTTCTAAACTCAGGTTTTGTTCATGTTCAGTTTGAACTCTATAAGAAAGTTGATGAATAAAAGTTGGACAGGAAAGTAATAGGCTTCACTCGATTCATTTACAGCAATGTCAATCTCTCTACTAATACATCTGTGAGGCGGATTCCTGTGGAAAGTGAAAAAAATAACAAAATTTTCTTGGGTGGAAGTATGTATAATGAATTATCAGGTGCACTTCTTTTTTATCTGATTCTTCACACGCCCCTTTTTAGTCCGGAGGCACACCTGTAAAATTATCTATTCATCATTCATTATGCATCTTTTATTTTTAAACGACCAATTTACAGAAAGAAAGCGAGGAACCTGATGACATTTTCTTGAAAACTTAGAATATGACCATTTGAAAACTGAGTCTTGATTTTATTGAAATTAATGAATGTGCATGAACTACTAATAATCAAGTATTGCCTTCAACAAATTTAAATTTATTTATTTATTGGATGAATGTAATTTGGCGCAGATAACAGACCAACTTAGTGGTCGCTTTTCCTCTGCGTTGTCCTTGCCGCAAATTTGTGAAAATTTTGTAAAAGCAGCCCATGATCCTCGCATTTCTTGTATATATCTTCATATAGAGCCACTAAATTGTGGGTGGGGCAAAATTGAGGAAATAAGAAGGCACATATTGAACTTCAAGAAGTCAGGTAAATATTTAACAACTTTATTTTCAACTTGCCTGCCAAATTTATTATATGCATCTTCTTCTTTTTCTTCAAATATCTTAGAACCATCAATATCATATTTGGAAACTTCTTATTTGAAGCATAATTAATGCTTCTGTTCATTATTGGAAAGTATATTTAAATATTTTTAGTTTTTCAATCACCTCAAAGGGTTCACAGGACTAAACTTGTGCTCCTTTTGTTTTACTGAATTTTTTGATGATTCTTTTGTTTGGAGCTGTTATATTTTTTGATATTTTGTCTTGAATATGTAAGGTTCAGTCATTTGGAAAAAAAATTAACTTGTATCCAATATTTATTTGAGTTCGATTCAAAGAATTCAACTCATGGAATGGATTTGACAATGGCAATAATTGCATGAGAGAAGGAAGTTTAAGAGAATAAACATACATTTTCATGATGAATAATTTAGTAGATGGTGAAAATATTTGGTTCAAAATGTTTTCAGTAGGTATAATAATTGGATATGATGCATGACTTATCCATGGTTTCGATGAGGGGTGCATTCTTATGTGGGCTATGCACCATTTTAATACCAATACATGCATGGAAGGAAGAAATGACTAGATTATATGGAGGAATTGCTTTTTTTTCTCTGTTTCATTGGAGTTTGATGAAGTGAAGGTGCTATTAAACTATTATATGTTACTTGATTATTTTCTTGTTGTGAGCAAAATTTGAGCACATAAAATGAATATCATACTAAAAAAAGAAACTATCTAAATCTTTTAAGGACGAACTATTTTGTATATGTCATGTATAACGGGCATTTAATGAATAAATATCTATTGGAAAAAAAATTTAAGTGAACATGACTCGATCATTAAAGAAATGATTGTAATCGGAAATAGATTTAGAAACAGAAAATATTGTAATTCATAGATGTAATTTTCCATCTTAAATATTAAATAAAAGTCTTTATAATTGAAGAAATAACTTGACATTTTCGATAATTTTTTGTCTTAAAACCACAAAATTCATACCTAAAATTCATTAAGGTATAGTTAATTAAATTCTTAAATTATTTTGACATATCTTTATAATCACTTTGTCCTTTTTCTTTCGAGATCTTTATTTTTTATGTTTTATGTGTTTACATTATTCAATTCTTTTTCTACTTAAGTTATAATTAAATTATTCTATTATCAAATAGAGTAATATATGACTTAATCCAAGTCTAGCAATTGATTTATTAGAGTTATTTCCATCTACCCAAAATTTTAACTCTTTTAATTATGATTAATGTAATCAAAACTTTTATACTATAAATTTTTACTTTTTGTGACTTGATTGATTTTCATCTGTTAATGGTACAATTGTAATCACTATAACTTATAAGAAGACTTGAAAATAAGAATACAATAATAATTAATTATTTCTTATGTTATTGAATGATATTTTTATCATTATATTTATTTAATTAATAAATATTTAAATTAATGTAAGAAGCTTACATTTATTTAAGTCTAGGTTCATGAACATATTAACCATATAATCTTTATTAATTATTACGCTCACTTAGATTGTGAAAATCTTATAATAACCATCTAAATATTTGTATACTTTATGTAATTTCTTTTTTATACTTAGTTTATAATTAAATTATTTACCCACAAACATATTATCTTTCATACTTATGAGAGAAAATTTAAATATATTTATGAAATGTTCTTTTATGTTTAAACATTTATTAAAGCAAATGAACTTTACTCAATTTAACTAACACATCCAAGGTTAGAAAGAAAAAAAATGGTTTTACGTTTTTGACGTGGGAGTTAGAATTGGGATGTGGTACGCGTTCCTGTAGCTGCTACAGTAACCGCGGGTCTCTCTTGCCTATTTTGATTCCCTACCTTATCTACCACATTCATTTCTATCCCAATTTCAAATTCCTTCCATTTCCATCACTCCTTTATTTTTTTGTGTATTTTTCTACTCACCTAATCAACCTATTAACCCTCTCTTATTTTTACATGTTGTTTGCTAAGGTTAGGGCAAATTTTGATGAGTGCAGATTTTAGAGTGCTGCTTTTGAGGCGTTCTTCCTCTCTAGGGGTTGTACCCGACTACGAGAAGATGCTTCGGCTGTAGCTCATCCGTGTTGGTGACCATGTCCAAGGGTCCGACTGGTGCTTCTGCTGCAGCTCAACCTCGACGAGACATTTATTCTTTGACAACCCCTCCGACCCCTATTCCAGCAGCCGCACACCGCCTTTCGGTCTTCTTCTTGCTACCCTCTAGGCCCCTCCCTCCTCATTCGATCAGCAATCTGCCCGCAACCCTCCGACACCTTCCCTGCTATGGTTACATCTCTTAGCCGCTATCCTCTTGCTGCCAACCCTGCCGACACCTTCCTCGCTGTTGTTTCATGCTTTCCGCAGCTGTGACTGCACCCTTCAGCAGTTCCCTAAGACCCCTCTCGGACCAGCCCTTGCTGCCGATATCCCTTTTAGGGCTTATTCCTATTGATGTCCTGCTGACCAACCCCTAGTGCTTGTCACTGTTGCTTTCTAGCCCGACTGTGCAAACCTCCGCCACTGGTCTGCTACTGCCCCAGGCCATCGCAGCTCCCTCTTGTCACTCTCCAACAGCCGCCAGCCGTTTTCCGACCACCACTATTGTCCCCGTTTCCTTGATGGTCGTTTATGTATTTTTTGTTGCTTTTTATCTTATGTTTTCACAGCCTCGTCTCGTCCTTTTTGTTTGTATGTTTTTTGTTGTTTATTGCATGTTAGCAAGAGTCTCGTTTGCACCCTTTTGAATTCAATAATTGTAATTGTGCTTTTCATGGTGATTTTGGTTTACTCCGGTATCTTTTGGTATCAGAGTTAGCCTAACCCTAGCACTATCCTAGGGTTTCCTACTCAAGCCACCCTCGCCAAAATTTTTCTGCCTAAAAACTTCGACGAATAAGGTCAAAGCTCCCCAACCTCATTAGATTGACGCGAGACCTAAAATTGGGACGCGATATTGTAACTGCTACAGTGTCGCTGATGCGTTACTGTAGTAACTACTGTAACCATAGGTTTTTCTTGCCTATTTTGATTCTCTATCTTATCAACGACCCTCCACTTTTATCCCAATTTCAAATTCCTTCCTTTCCCATCACCCCTTTTTTATTTATTGCCTATTCTTCTATTTATCTAATCTACCTACTAACCCCCTCTTATTTATACATGTTGTTTGTTAACGTTAAGGTAGATTTTGATGAGTGCAGATTTCTGAGTGCTGCATTTGAGTGAGGCGTTCTTCCCCTCCGGGGGCTGTACCTAACGACGAAAAGACGCTTTGGTTGTAACTCGTCCGAGGTGGTGACCGTCTCCAAGGGTCAGAGTGGGGCTCCGCCTATAGCTCAACCCCGATGAGACATCCATCTTTCCGCAGCCCCTCCGACCACTATTCCAGCAGTCGCACATTGCCCTCGGTCTTCTTCTTGTTGTCATCCAGGCCCACCCTCCTCATTCCAGTAGTAGTTTTGCCGCTCTCAGCCCCATCGACACCTTCCATGCTTTGGTTCGACCTCTCCAAGCTGCTATCCTGTTGCTGCCAGTTCCTCCGACACCTTCCTCATTGCTGTTTGGCGCTTTTTGCAGCTGTCTCTGCACTCTCCAACAGTTCGCCATGATAGCCCCTCCCAAGTCTGTAATAGTTGTCGTCTAGCCCCCGATGCCTGTTCCGCTACTGTCCATCCCTGCCATCGGAACCCGTCACCAGTGCGCTGCTGCCCCCAACCAACGCAGCTCTCTCATACCACCCTCCAACAGTTGCCAACCCTTTTTCGATCACCACCACTGTACCTGTTTCCTAGATGGCCTTTTTTGTATTTTGTGTTGATTTCTATCTTATGTTTTCAGAATGTCTTGTCCTTTCCGTTTGCATGTTTGTTGTTGTTTGTTTCATATTTGCAAGGGTCTCTTTTGTATCCTTTTGGTTTGTGCTTCCTCTGATATCAGTTTTACCTTCAAACAAAAAATGTGCAAATATCCTCATCCTTCGATCTCACATTCTAAAAAATTTTTAGCTGAGGAAGAAAAATCAAGGCCGAAACTCGTTCCTCCTCAAAAATTAATTTAATTCTTAGGGTTCATATTATTCTCACATTCAAAGTTCTTAGGATGCTTGACTCTAGCTCAATCAGCTGCAACCATCCCACCTTGCACAACTTTTTTTCCTCTTTTGGTATGTTTTGGTTCATTCGCCTCTGTTGCATGCTCTACTTACCACACTGTTGATTGATTCTCTCACCTACTAACACCGGTGCCTCCGCCCTCCTCACCCGTCTCATTGTTGCTTGAGCTCAATCGCACTTGTTCACATCGCCTCCTTGACACGCTCTTAATGTTATTGGCGAATCTAGACAAAGGCCTCTGCTTTGCCTCATTCGCTCCTTCATCTCATCCAAAGTTCGCTCAATGTTGATTTCTTCTCAATTCATGTTATTTGATGATTTCACCCTTCACGCATCTTTTCGTTCATTTGTTTCCCCCTCTTTGATTCGTCTTCGCCTTCTGTGCTTTAAATGAACTGGCATTTGTCGGTTGCATTTTTTTTAGTAGGATGTTACACATTTGCTCAATTTTAAGCCTTGGTTTAGACTAATCTACTTGTAGCTACTACCTTATTTTATTTTACTAAGTTGGTTTTTGCTGGTCTTTCCTTGAATTTATATTTTGAAGTTTATTGAATATTATTTGACCGGCTTAACAATTGTCTTTTACGGATGTCATCTTATGTGGATACCAAGTAGCTTTGAGAAATTCATGTACAACTCTTTCTAACAAAAAAAGAAAAAAAACATTGGCATATTTCATGGGACTTGTAGAATAAGAGACATGGAAATGAGAAATGGTTCCAATTAGACAAGATTTGTTTGAATACACACAGACACTTGATTCTGTAAAGCTGTAATAATTGCAGCAACATTGACTTGCTGATGATTTTCTAAGTTTTAGTATCATATTCTTATTGCTCATAACTTCGTATGAACGTTTGCAGGTAAATTCACAGTATGTTACATTCCAATTTGCAGAGAGAAAGAATATTATCTTGGTTGTGCATGCAGAGAAGTGTACACACCACCTAGTGCTTATGTCTCATTGTTTGGTTTGACCGTGCAAGCATCATTCCTTCGAGGTAAGCTCAACTTTTTGATTCTTTTCCCTAAAAATAGTGTACATTGAGTAAAGAAAATTTGGGGCATTTACTTACATAACTCAAAATTTTTATGTATTTACACATCTCACCCCTAAACTTTCATGGTCACAAACATAAAACTAAAATATTTAATATCACATAAAAAATACGGTATAATTTTAAAAGTGGAATACACCATTTGATGCATTGGTTTAAATCATCGAAGTGCCATGTATGTAAATATGAAAGTTTATACGAGATATATATAAATACATATGAATTGTATGCTGCGTGTGCAAATTTTCGAAAAATATTTATATGCTCTTAATTAGCTTTGCGGATCACTTGAGATGTTGAGATTGGAGGTTGTGTGTGGTTAAGTTACTCCTGGTCATGGGCATGAATAACTCGCTATTTTCTTACTAAGGCAGTGCTAAACTACATGCATCCCTCAAATCTTGTGCACCAATTATTCATTATGTTAACTTGACACTATTAACAATCCTTACTTTCCCAACTCAATTCAAATTTTGTAAATCTGTATGATTAACTTAGAGGAAGTAGTCATATTTTATAATATGAACCCTCGTAGCTTGAAATTACTAAAATCACTTATTTAATGGTAAATATGTGTTACTCCTTGTCTATGCTAAGTAGCGTTGGAGCTTAACTTATCTTTTACTGCTTATGTTTGTGTTTTTTCCCTTTGGATTTGCAAGTTATTTTAACAACTGTATTGTTTTTTTGAGTCATTTAATTCTATGAACCTTGTGTTTTTAATTGTTTTTGTTGGATTATTTCGGTCTTTTGTTAATACATTTTGAAGTTTCTTGTTAGGAATCGTGACACGGGGCTTGCTGTGTAGCTGACTGAACCGGCCGGGCTTCATGGGGCTGGAATTGTCGCCCCTTTCCTCTCCCAATTTTCTATTTTACTCTAGAGGGAATTTGTTCATCTTCTATTCCTTTCCTATTTCTATTCCTCTCCTATTTCTAGTCCTTGTATATTTCTCTTCATTTCCTATTTCTGTTTCTTTACTATTTCAAGTCCTTGCCTATTTCTATTCCTTACTTATTTCTCTTCCTTCCTCTTCTATTTCTATTCCTTCCTCTTCTATTCATTGCCTTTTTCTATTCCATTCTTTATTCTATTATCTTCCCATTCTAATTCCTTCATTTTTTAACCACTAGTACCTATTTTAAATACGTTGTTTGTTGTCTTAGGGTTCATGTTTTATCTTTCAAATTTCTGTCCAAGTCAGCTGTTGGGGGCTCTTTTCCTTTCTAGGGCTGTATTCGAAGGCGAGGATGTGCTCCAGCTATAAATCGCCTGAGACGATGATCTTCCTTAGCGGTTTGATGGGTGCTCCGAAAACAACTCGATCCAACGGGTATACTTATCTCCCCAACTCCCCTCCGCAGTCCATCTTCCTCTGCCGCCACCCCATCCCCTTGCTCTCCTCGTCTCCTACTTTCGCTGACGCAACCTGCAAACTCTTCCGCTTGCCGCCCATTGCTAGAATCCGCGCCCATACCCAGCTGCCCTTGTTGTTCTCATCCTGTACAACCACGACACATCGATATCGGCTGTCCAAAAACCGATAAACTATCACTTTTGTTTTCTATTTGCTTACCTCCTCGTTCGCCATCCCACCACTTTCTAACCCTCACCGACCCACCTCCACTACCCCTTGATCCAACCCAACCACGTGTCGTGTGTTGAGCGTCTTGTTATTTCCTATTTCGATTTAGTTGGTTGTAATTTTCCTTTCAGTGTGCGAGTTGTAACACAACCCAATCAGATTTCTAGTAATAATATTTGATTTTTGTATTATGAGTTGGGTTTAACTCCGGTATCAAATCGTATCCTATAAGTATGGATCCTTGAGATATTGTTTACTTTTTTTATTGAATGATTTGTGATGAGAAAAATTCCCCTCTTACTTGTTTTGTTGTTCACTATGAAATGTAAATGGAGTTATATTACTCCAAGTGGTGCCTTGTCTAAATGGGTTACTTCAGATGTAATCCTGAATAAGTTATTCTAGTGTTTATTTTCTTTATAACTTAGAATTGGGCATATCAGAATGATTTACTTGGGCGTCCAGCCAACTCGCGCACTTTTAAAATGTAAATTGGTTGCTTGGTTTTCACTGATAGTTGGCTTATGGTTTGGCACAAACTAGAAAATTTAAATCATGTAACTTGTCTGTGGATTGAGCTTGGCACCTTTAAGGTGAATGGGAAATTTTCTAACGCGGGAGCTTATCGCTTGCGGTACTTTAGCAGCCACAATACCGCAAACGCGTTACTGTAGTTGGTTACAGTAACCACAGTCCAATTTTAGATTTAATTCTCTTTCATATTTGATTTTCCTACTCTACTTTCACTTCCCAGTCATTCCTTCCATACTTAGACTGCATTTCAAATTCCTGCCCTTCCTGTCCTTTCTTCTTTATTCTTGCCTATTTTCTCTACTTATCTAGTCTAACCTCTACTCAAATCTTATTTATAATTGTTATGTGCTGATTGGAAGAGAAAAGTTTTGATGATAACTGACTGCAGTTGCTGCTTTTGAGGCATTTTTCCCCTCCGGGGCTATACCCGATGACCAAAAGGTGCTTTGGGTATAAATCGTTCGAGATGGCGACCATCTCCAATGATCCGAGTGGTGCTTCGGCTGTAGCTCGACCCGACGAGACATTTATTCTTCCGCAACTCCTCCGACCCTATTTTAAACAGCTACAAACCACCTTCCGGTTGCTGTCTAGACCACACATTTCTCTTCCGAATGTTGCCCAGCCTTCTGATTGCTGTCCAAACAACCTTCTGTTGTTGCCCAACCACTGACATATGTTGTTGTCCAATTCAAGGACGCTACTTCCTGCTGCCGTCCAACTCACATTCCTCTTCCAGCAATCGCCCCTGCCTTACAACCACCAGGCTCCTTCCAACTCTCTTCCAACAACTATAACCTCTCTCCTACATGTGTCAGCCACGATATAAGCCTCTTTCAGCAACCACAACCATCTCACAACGACAACCTTCCCTCCTGCCGTCTCCCCTCAACGACAATCTTCCATTAGCCGTGAACCCACCATCCAACAACCTTCTTTCTCATTGTCACCCGCGAAAATATTTTATTGTTTAAGTTGTTCGTGTTTGTTTGCCATTAGTTCCTATTATTCAAGTGCCATGTTTGTAATCTGGTTGGAATTCATGAATAATATTTATGTTTTTGTTGTGGTTTGGGATACTTCCGGTATAATTTGGTATCAGTGCTAGCCCAACTCTACTCCTATCCTCTAGGGTTCCCTAGCATCTGCCCCTTTCCAAGCCAACCCTGCCAAAATTTTTTCTGTCCTAAAAGCTTCGACGGATGAAGTCGAAGCTCGCCCAACCCTTGGAGATTGACGCGGGAGCTTACTGTTCAGGGTACCGTAGCAGCTACAGTATCGCTGCGTTACTGTAGCTGCTTACAATAGCCACTGTCCTCTTTTAGATTTAATTCCCTTTCTTATTTGATTCTTCTGCTTTAATTTCTCATTCCTAATCCTTCCCTCCATACTCGGGTTGCATTTCAAATTTCTTCCTTTTCTGTCCACTCTTCTTTAATCATTGCTTATTTCTCTACTTACCTAGTCTAGAATCTACTCCCACGTTATTTATAATTGTTGTATGCTGATTGGAAGAGCAGAGTTTTGATGATTGCTGATTTCAGTTGCAGCCTTTGAGGTGTTCTTCCCTTCCAGGGGTTGTACTTGACGACGAAAAAGTGCTCCGACTGTAACTCGTCAGAGGTGGTGACGATCTCCAAGGGTCCAGGTGGTGCCCCAGCTATAACTAATCCCCACCGAGACATTTATCATTCCGCAGCGCCTGCAACCCCATTTCAAGCAGTCGAAACCACCTTCCGACCGCTGTCTAGACCACGACATCCCCCTTTCAGCTGCTGTCCAACCCATGCCATCCCTCTTCTGAGTGTTGCCCAGTTTTTTGGCTGCTGTCCACACTACCTCCTGCTGCTGCATGGCTACCAACACGTCTCAGTTGCTGTTCAACTCTTCAAGGACACCACTTCCTTCTGTCGTCCAACCCTCAGCCTTCTTCCAGCAAGCACATCCACTGCCCTACAACTGCCGACCACCTTCCAACCTTCTTTCAGCAAATGCAGCCCCTCTCCTACAGCTATCAGCCACCATCCAGGCCTCTTCCAACAACCACAACCATCTCCCAGGGACAACCCTTTCCTCCTGCCACCTCCCCTTAGTCGAAGCCATCTTCCATCAACCGCTAAGCTACCATCTAGCAGCCTCCGCCCTCTTTATAACCGGTGGATATCTTTTATTATTTATGTTGTTCGTGTTTGTTCACTGTTACTTCCTGCTTTTCAAGTATCATGTTAGTAATTTGTTTGGAATTCAGAAAAAATATTTGTGTTTCCGTTGTGATTTGAGTTATTTCCAACATTATTTTCATTTTGACCGCTTCATGTTTATGGCTGAAAATTGCCAATTCCAAGATGATAACTCACTGTCACTACTCATAGCCTGAGTTTTAGATGGCCATTCTTCCCTTCCCAGCTGCCCTTACGCTTCGTTGCATATTAAACAGTGAATTTGTTGAACCGACCAAATTAATCCAGATTAATGAAAACTTATTAAGAAATTTAATTTTTAAGGCAATCACAGATCTTCTCACTGATCTCTTTTCCAAATTCCCATGGTTACGATGACTGGACCCATCACATTAGATTTTTCATAGCTTTTGTGATTCCCACGAGCTAGATTTATTGCTCTGTACGGTTTGATTCCGGATTGAGATGAAGGATTCTTTTTTGATACTATTTGATCCAATATTGAGATAAAGGGTGGTTCTTTTGGTAGTTCTCTAAATCTTGATGCCAGTGATATAAACTTATAGGTCAAACAAAAATATTCCTTTTTAAGCTTATATCAAGGGGATATAGAGGTTTCTGAAGTCCATAATCAAAGTTAGTGA